AAAAAAAAAAAAAAAAAAGGCATGGGTGGTCAGGGAGGAGGCAGAGCTTGGGTTTAAAGGGATGAATGTCAGTGGGGTTTGCTGAGTCTCATCTCCCACCAGCTCCAGGAGCCAGGGATTCCTCTTTGTTCACAACACATTCCAAACCTAGGAAAGGGATTTCTCCTTATCTGGCTCTTAACTCAGGAAAGCTAAACATTTCGGCTGTTTCAAGAAATCGCCTGTGGAGCTGCATGCCTGCCAAAGGATTGGGATAAGAAGAAACATCTAGGCTGGGCGTGGTGACTCCTGCCTGTAATCCCACCCTAGGCTGGCAGGTCCCTTGAGCTCAGGGGTTCAAGACTAGCCTAGGCAACATGGCAAAACCCTGTGTCTACAAAAAATACAAAAATCAGCCAGGCGTTGTGGTGCACACCAGTAATCCCAACTACTTGGGAGGCTGAGATGGGAGGATCGCTTGAGCCCCAGGGGACAGAGGTTGCAGTGGGCAGAGATTGCACCACTGCACCCCAGCCTGGGTGACAGAGCAAGACTCCATCTCAAAAAAATAAAAAGCAGAAAGTCTTTTCCTAGTTCTGACCTGAGGTTTTTAGGGGCACAGGCAGAAAGATAGCTAAGCCAGGGGTTCAGCGGAGAGGGGCTTCCCCAGGATCTGAGGTCCAGAGAACAGGAGCCTGGAACCAGTATTTCCAGGTGCCCCAATGTGCTTGTGTACTGGAGAAAGGGGGCACGCCTCCAGGGGGGTGTTAGTAAGGCCAGAGGTCGCCAGCCAGACCCTAGTCTCTGCTCTTTGGCTTCCCCCTCCTATCTCCCGTATCTCTTAAAGTCTCTGAGGCTTTGGTCTCCCTCACAGCACAAAGGCTCGCGTATTTGGGGGATGGGGCGCAGATAAGCTCCTGGAGAGCAGGAGCCAGTGAAGGCTGTGGTCAGCTCAGCCTCTTCCCAGCTGAACTGAGGGTGAGGTGGAGTCATCACCTGCCCTCACCCCCAAAGTGCATCTGTGTCCCCTGGGGCGGAGCTGGGGACATAACATCACCACCTTTGTTATGTCTAGGAGGGAGGCCCAGCCCCGCAAGTCCTAGAAAGCAAAAGGGGCACCAGTTCCCAGCCTTGGTTTTCTGGGCATCCAGGTATTTTTTTTTTGGTACTAAATTATGTACTATTAAAATAAAAGCTAAGTGTTTTACCCTCCCCGTGGATGGGGAGACCACAGGAACTCAAGCAGGAGCTGGAGTACTGCTCCCTGGAGGAACGGGCTGTGCACTGGGTCCTCCATCTTTCTCCCCATTGGCTCAGGCGCTCGGAATAAGCCAGGCCTGCGGGGATGGCTGCATCCCCTGGACCTCCGGAGCCTCCTCTCTGCCCCTTGGGATTCACACGAAGGAACAGCAGCTGGAGCGCTTCTTCTGGGACTCCACATAGTCTCGGATCTGGAAGCTAGGCTCATCCGCTGACTGCCCGGCCCGGTATTTCAGCTCCCTTGAAGAAGAGGCAATGGGCTGGGCTGGGCCCGGCTGGGGTGAGGAGCTGAGCAGCCCCCTCCCCCCTCCCCATGGTCTGGAGCAAATGGACCTCAGCCTGCAGAATGCAGGTGTGTCCAGGGGCGGGGCCCTGCTGGATTCCTGGAGGGTGCCGCCCTGCCCTACACAGTTCCCTTCCCTGCTCAGCTCTCACTTGGCGATGGCCAGAAAGGCTAACTCCACGTTCATGCCCGTCTTGGCGCTGGTCTCCAGGAAGGGAACTCCGTACTCCTGCCCGGGAGAGTGTGTCCTCAGGGCCAGCCTCGGGCTGCCCCCACCCTTCACCCTGTCCCACAGACAGCCACTTACCCTGGCCAGGGTCTCTCCGTCCTCCGAACGGATCACTCTTTCGCTGCTCATATCCGCCTGTCAAGCCCAAATGGGTCACTCTGGGGAAAGAGGCCTCCGCCCCAGCCGGACCGTATTTTGCCCCAGGCATAGGCACTGCCTGCCCTCTGCTGGTGGCTCAAGGCACTGCGGGCAGGTGAGATTGGCTTGGGGCCAGGGTTTCTGCCCGATTTGCTACCAGCTTTGGGATCTCACCTTTGGTAAAGGGTGTGGTGACCCAATCTTGGAAGGGGACAGCAGTTGGGGCTAACTCTTTGCAGTCTTAGCCCCTGACCTAGGACCCTGTTCACTCTTCTCTGTGAGGGGGCTGAGAACTGGGCATCCCTTGCTTTCTCAGGCAACAAGTTGGACTTTCCAGAGCTTTAAAGAGAGCAGGTGGGCTGGGCAGAAGCCTCCAGATATGTCTGATCTCCGAGCTGCAGCCTGCAGAGTCCTTTTCAGGAAGGATGCCTAGACAACTGTTCTTGGGTGGTTATGAGGCTGGCCAGCGCTGAGGAAGTGCAGGGCTGGGCTGACCCTGCCCCGGAGCCACTCACCTTGTTGCCTAGCAGCATGATCACCACATCCCTCTGGGCATACTCATGAATCTCAGTGAGCCAGGCCTGTGGGAGAAGCATTCTGAGACTGGCATTCTCCTCCCGCCGCCCCTTCCTTCTTCTGCCCGGTTTGACTATCCCCAGTTACTGACTACCTTCAACATGATGCCCTGTGGAGTCTCTCATCTGTACCTTTGTTCTGGCCTGTCCAGGCCTGGGTGGCCTTCCTTGTGGCTCACACAATGGCTTCACCCTCCCCATTTCATGCTGTACAACCGTCAGTTCTGTGGAAGATCCAGCTGTATGGAGACCTTATCTAACAAATCAGTTGGTTGTCACCAGTGATTTCTTGGTGTGTCCTCTTGAAGATTCTAAGACTACATAAGGGTTTCAGTGATCAAAAGTACTGTGATCGATTAGTGATGTCTGCCACAAGCATGGGGTTGGAGTTGGCAGTATGAGTGCCGTGGATTTTCCATCCTTTTTCTATATAGATGTTTTATTCTCCTAGTTTGCTTGTCAGCAAACTGTCCTTGAGGTCAGGGAATTCATGAATCCTATACAATGTTGTGCACCGAATCGGTGCTCGAATTTATCAAATTTTTGTCTCTATAATAGTTTGGTTGTGAGGACATAGCCACTCACTCTGCCTGACTGAGTCACTTTCTTGCAACTTGCCCTGGATGTATGTGTGGACTTTTCTGGTTGGGTTTTTCCCCTTGGTCTCTGTGGATAATTATCCAGGGTGGAGTGGGGGCCATTCTGAACACTTTGTCACGAAACACTTTCATGAATCAGAATGAGGGCTATGCAAGTGGCACAAGGTCACAGCCGCCTGCTTGGCTTTCATGCCCACATGGCCATCAAATATAAAGCAGCAGATATGACTTCTGAGTCACAAGCAGGTGTTTTTCAGAAGGCAGCAGGATTCCATGCTCCACCCCCTTTCCACAGGGCCGGAAGCAGCCTCAGCCTGCGTAGACCTTGCTGTGGCTGCTAATGGGTGGGAGTCTGGGGAAGGGAGGACCTACCCTGATGTTGTCAAAAGAAGCCTTGTTGGTGATGTCATACAGCAGAAGCAAGGCTGGAGGGGGAGAGGATCACAGAGGGGACTTAGGCAGCAGCACAGGTGCTACCAAGGGGCTGGGGTAGGGGATGGAGGGTGCAAGGGACTTACCCTGAGCGTCTCTGTAATAAGCATGGGTGACACTTCGGAACCGTTCCTGCCCAGCGGTGTCCCAGATCTGGGAAGAGATGGAGAAATGGTTAGAAGGAGGCAGGGTGCAAGGACTGTGCTGGGTGGAGGGGGCCTGCTTTGTGGTATGGGATGTCTGTGGGAAGGTGGGGCTGTTTCCTTCTTTAGGTTCTCATGAGCTCCTGAGCATCCGATGACCTGGAGAGTAGCAGTTATTGAGTTCTCAAGCTTATTCGGAATCATCTCCTCTCTGCCAGCCCAGGGATTGGGGATGTCCCACCTCCTAAGAGCAGACAAAGCCTAGGCAGCTGGGGAGGAGACGGATGGAGGCTAAACTTGACTGAAGGCATTTTGAGTTGCCTTTCTTAGATGAGAGGGTGCCTGGGAACCGCTTTTTCTGCAGACATCAAACAAACAAAACCCATTTCCTCTTGTGGGCCCCACAGGAAATTACCCCAGGCAGAGGGCAGGGCTGCAGGCCTCCTGTGGTTCAGGGTGAGAAGCAAGGGCAGATCCTCCACCGTCCCTCCCTAACCCCTGCCTCCGGTCTCACCTGCAGCTTCACCCTCATGCCATCCACGGTCACCACCTTGTTCTGAAAGAGAAAAAGGCAGAGGCTGGGAGGGCAGGAGTCGGGTGGCTCTTCAGCTCTGCAGACAACCTGTCCTTGGTCCCTCTCCAGGGCTACAGTGGGTGCAGCGAGCCCCAGAACCATCTCCAGCCGGATCATATCATCAGGGTAGCTGGAACCCTGTCCCCAGACACCTCCACTGTGGAGTCCTCTCTTCTGGGGACTGTGTCTGCCCTTCACACAACAGCAGGGCAAGAGGAGCCTGAGAAGCTTCCTGGCTCTCTCCAGGGATCAGGCAGCCCAGGGCTGGAGGCCTGGGTGCTGCTGGAGGCCCTGCCCTTTTTTTCACTTTGGTCTCCCTCTCCTGGAGCCTGGCCTGGGACTGTGACTGAGCCCCTGCAGGTGGGGTGCTTGCCTGCATCCTGGGGACCCGAGGCTACATCTGCAGTGGCATCTTTCCTCTAGCTGCCCACTAATTCTCTAGTGAAGGAAGCGTTTGCCTTCTGCCTGCTTGAAGCTGTACAGCGCCACCTGCCAGGGTAAGATCTTTTCTCTATTGGATGCTTTGGGTGTGTAGCACTCAGCATCTCTGACGAGGATTTGTAAGATGGAGTCGTCAAGGTGAGAGGGAGGGTCCCTGGTGAGCTGTTGTGTCCCCACGTGGCCAGCCAGCTCTTTTTTTTTTTTT